GGATAATATAGGATATTTTCCGGATATCCTGTACATCTCTAGTTAATATGTTAAAAAACTGTTAATAAATTTATTACGAAAAATAATGGTATGGGCAAATTTCACAATTCTCCGACAATTATCTTGAAGTATTACGTGGAGTCGGATTGTTAACCCCTAATCGCATGGGGGATAATAATGTCATCATTCGAATTAAATTGCAATGCATGAATGGTGCATCGACTATTAAAAGAAGCTTGCAAATATCTATTCTGTATATATATTCTATATTTTTATGCGACTTTTTGTATGTGTATTGATACATGTATTTATACTTGTACGTTGTCTTATATATATTTTTTGTATTTATATGTATACAGTCTTTTGTATATACAATATATTTTTATATGACATACATTTCTTTCTTAACGCTCAGTTATCTATTAACGTTATCTATTAATCAAATTAACATCTCATTATTTGAAATTAATAAACCAAGAGGACCATGTAAGCTGTATTAATCATTGCTATATTATCCATTTAATCATCATAATACAGCAGAAAACATAATGGCGTAACAACATCGTGCAATTATTTATGCCAAATTAAGAATTAACGATATTATTGTACAATACATATAGTGCGCGGGATAATGAGAGGTAATTTTATTCGAGGCGAAGATTATTACAAATTGAATTGCGATACTCCGCGATGAAGAGGATGGCCCGGTGCCCTGAAGCGTCGTTCAGTCGTTGCCCCAGCCCCCAATGGATCCGTCATGGCATGGCACTCGCGCAGCAATTACGCTTCGCTTCCCCCCCCCCCCCCCCCCCCCCCCCCCCTCCATTTTCTCGACGTTAATTCGAGGACCGATCGGACGCAGACATCGGATATATTATAATCTACAGCGAATCTTTCGATGGGGAGCCCTCCTACTCCTGCCCCTTCCTCATCGTGCATCACCGAACGATACGCAGCGGTATATTACCGAGCAGGGGACCGTGTGGGGAAAAAGAGGTCAGGGGAAGAAAGAGAAGGGGCGGACGAGACGAGGTGGGAAGGAGGAGATGGCGATGGCAGTGAAATGAGCCCACGGTAGAGAGGGAAGCGCGATGGACATACGAAGAGAAGAAAGACCGGTCCGGGGTGGGAAGGGAGAAAATACCACGGGAGAGAGATCCGAGAGTAGTAGGAAGGGAACCAATCGTCGCGACGACTTAAGCGCCGTGCGCGCGCGCGATATTACTATACGTAATATAGCATATGCGTGGAACGAAGCGTTCATGTATAGGTCGACGTCGAGTTGGGATAGGAATACACGGACGCAAGTCCACTTTAGCGACATACTATATACGTACGTGTACGCACACAAGCGTTGACGCGCACACAGACGTTCACGGACCATGGCTATATCGAGAACCAGAGACGAATCGAGAGATAGCATGGGACGACCTGTGATGCGAATGAGAGCGAGCGAGAAAGAGAGAGAGAGAGAGAGAGAGAAATTCTCCCTTCCCTCACCCCGTAGCGGGAATAGGATGGCACATGCGCGGCAACGAGACAACGTTACGCACGCCGACCGTACCCATAACCCAAGCCAAGCCAATTCCTCCGGTGGCAGCCCGAATCATTAACTTGTTTCCCTGGCAACCTCGTCGCGACCCACACCATTGGCTGTGCCGCTTCTCCCACCCGCGCGCCATCACGCTCTACGGTCGAACGGCAAACTACAGATGCCGAGATACGCTCTTTTCGTTTCAGCAACATAGCATAGACGCGGACTATAGGGTGATCTCCCCTTACCCCTTCCTTCATGCCAATCTCCTCCGGTTCGACCCTCGTCAAGTGGCGTACATACGTGTGTGTGAGCGCGCGCGCGCATGAAGACGTCCGCGCGCGCGTCCGCCGTTCGACGCCAGGGACTTGGTTACTGGGATTGGTACAGCCAGGAACTCTTCCTACCCTACGCGCGATACGTCCTACCGTCGCACCTCGCGTCGAAATCCGAGACCAGTATTGGGGAATGAATGATAAATCCGCTGTACTTTGCGTTAGCGTGACTCCACTCTTTCTTTTCGATTTCAGCTAGAAAATACTGCCGAGATACAATCACTCTCGCACATCTGAATCTGGCATTGTAATCGAATAATTTTTAATAGATAATTTTCTTAATTAATTAAACGTACAGAATTCGATTGCGTTTGATAGTGATTGTTAAAAATAAAACGTTCATATACGTATGGCACACGATAAATTTATTATTTCGTCGTATACAGAGATACACACGTGGCAGATGGATGTTTTAAGGATCAAAAGTTCCGATCGCCAAAATAACGAGACACTTCGTGTCCTTGATCCATATGAGGATGGACCCCCATGCCTTGGGCGGAGCGGGATGCATTATGCATGGCGGCATTGGAGGTCTCGGGCATCAAAATTGGAGCTTTCCTCGACATCGCATCGCGCATCGACATCAAGGACGCGCGGGATGTCCGTTTTTTATTTCTGAAGTTTTGCTTACGTACACGTTCGTTGCGTTAGAAAAAAAAAACAGCAACAGACAACTGGAATGTACTGATTGGGTGGAAAATTCCCGTAAGGCGCGACGAGCCAATTGCGTGCGGCTCGCGAGTCCCGAGTTTCGAGCCGGGAAGCATAAACTCGGGTCTCGGCTTAGAGACAGTTGCGCCAGGGCCGTATAGCGCCCGCACGGGGCCACCGATTTAAACTTCACACGACTCCTCTTGTTACGTCACGTTATGTTTTATTATAAATAAATGTATCTGTATACACATATTATTTTGATGTAAGTGGATTTATAAATACTACCATAATTATACATTTCATTAACTTGGAAGAAAATTACACAAAAAAGTACGTATGTTATACGTGTATATCGAATATCGAAATTAAATATTGCAAACTGCAAGAAAATTGTGATGTAACACGAAATCACACGCATGTATCGATTATTAATATAATAAATCAATGATAAATTTGTGAATTTATTTTGTAGTTCGAATAAAATTTTATAAGAGAAAAAGGGAAGGGAACAATATATATGGAAAACCTATTTTATTTTATTCGCAGCACACAGATACGTGCGCGCGCACACCCCTCTCTCTTTCGTATATTTTATTCTCAGGAGGAGGGAAGAAAAAGATCATCTATTTCGAAGGATATAACTCATAGAACTAGTATAGATATAATAGATTGACAATGAACAAATGACCTATCAAATTTGAAAACTTTCTAGACATTTTACATGTTGTTTCCGTTTCAGGTATAAAACACACACTGTAAGAAATTTCTTAAAAACAGAAAATTTGAAAGAAACTTAATGATTTGGGAAATTAAGTCTTTATGCTTAAAATTCCGTATAGGTATTTCATAATTTAAAAAAATTTATAAGTACATCAATAGTAAAATATACAAAATACAGAAATATGCAAATGTTTAACTATTAATTTTACGCTCTATTATAATCATGTACTATGTAAGTTAAATATTTTAATTATAATTATTTTTGTTTAAACATAAGTATATAACAATGTTTGGATCAGGAATAATATTATATATGATGTCTCAAATAAGTGCCTAATGTTACATGCAATTACAAATGTTTCTACAAATGGGACAAAAAATTCATCTAGAAATCCTTCATGTAGTCGTTGTTACGTAAAGTTTCTACTTGATTAAAGCTGTTAGTAATTGATTATAAGCTGTTTACGATATAATATGAATAATAACGATGTATTATCGATGGAAATTTATTATTGCATTCTCATTGTTCACTACAATAAGAAATAAAAACTTAAGAGATTCGTTTAATAGGCTAGTCTCTTTGTCTCAATTATATCTTTACAAAATCTCTCAAATTCTATATGAAATACACATAAAATGAATATATTTAATGGAAATATAATATAAATTATTAGATACAAAAGTTATAAAATTTGAATGAAACATATAAATCATAAACAAAATATTCGATTGCAATTTTCAACTACGTGTTTTTAATTAAATTATAGAATAATTAATTAAAAAGTAATATAATCAAATAATGTATTCAAACAAATTACTCATTATTATTAATAATGTACTAAACTTATATTAGCATTATAATTAAAATTTTAAATTAAGTATAAAGAAAAAAAAAGCATTAATAATAAGTAATTCTTGGTAAGAAGAAAAAAGAAAAAAATTTAGAAGAATATGTGTAAAATGGAATACCAGGGCACTCGGAAAACTTTGTACGTTTCTGCCAATGCTATGCTGTGAAATATGGCAGGGACTCTAGATCTGTATACGTACAGGAACAAATGGTTCGTGAATCTGTGTGCGTGCATACGATAGAACGGCTGGGCGCGATAGGTAGCAGTGAGAAAGGAGAGAAAGAGAAAGAGAGAAAGAAAAAGAGAGAGAGAATGTGGTACCGTTAGTGAGCATGCGCCTATAGCCACCATATCCAATGGCTCCGCCTTTCCCAACACGAACGATGCCTTTGGGATTTGTCCCCGTCGAACCAATCAGCAGGCACGCTGGACGACGCGCGACGCGCGGCGGGAAGGTCGCCGGTGGTAGGGATGGCCGTATTAGGGACGCGCGGGTATAAGGCGGAAGTAGTTGTATTATACTGTGTGGGACAGGGAGGCAGCTAGCAGCAGCAACGGCAGTAGCAGTAACATCACCGATAGTGGGCAACGGTTGCCGGATAACTATTATCACGAGCTCTTATAGTCGGCCAACGACGTATTTCGTAAAATGTCGTCGTGCGGTGAGAAACAGTGATTCGTAAAAAGTGAAAACACTTTGCGCGAGCGAACGAACACGCCGTTAGACATCGTGCGCTGCGCGACGGACGAGTGAGATGGTGGTGTGAATCGGTGTGAACATACACACGCGTATCTACATATACACGCGCGCACATACACACACACACATACGTGTACGTTCACATACGCGCGCACCAGCCGCGGAGCGTGTATATAGGTGTGACTGCGCAGTCGCCATGTGAGTACCTGATAAAAAGGTAGAGCGAGACATCAATGTCGGTGGCTCCGTCGACTCGTGGTGGCGTCATCGTCGTCGTCGAGGGTATCCACCCCTTCGCCATACCTCCGTCGATGCTATACGTTCGACGCGAAGAGATATAACTTTTAAACCAACTACTTTGTGGAATGTACTCAATTACCGACGCCGACGACGATCTTCGCCGAACCGCGACGACGGTCCGTCGACACGCTGCAACTGTTCGATAACACTACTTTGTCTGTCTCTTTCTGTTTTCCTCCTCTCTCTCTTCCTCTCTTTCTCTTCTCTCTCGCACACTCATCCCGTCGCTTCTCCGAACGGTGTTCTTTATTTTGTAATTCAATATGTCTGCGTCCGTGCGAGACGCCGCCACTTTGGATTCGCATGGAGGGACGGACTCGCAACGACCGGAGACCGGATACGTGCATGCGTGTGACGCCAGCATACATGTTTTATTGCACTTTCAGGCGAACGGGTCGCGAAAGAAAAAAATATCTCTTTTTCTCGCGTGCTCTCCAGCGTGTTTCTTGTTACTGTAATTGTCCGTTTTTATATTATATTCTTTACAGATTGCCATTATGGCGAGATCCATGTGCAGTCGTCCCCCCTGGCACAGTTATTTTTTTCTTTCTCTTTCTATTTCCCCTCCCTTCAAATTTTTCCTCTCTCCTCTCCCATCCCATCCCATCCCCTCTCCATCCGGCAAATCCGCCTTTCAATCGTATTTCCCGCTCTCCTTCGGATCTCTCCGTGCTTTTCCCCCTTCCTTTTTTTCTCCCTCTTGTTATTATCGTGCCACTAATTATGGTGGGTATATGGATTGGGGCGACATTTTGTTCGTTCACGCGCGCGCGCACATACCAAAATGGAATCGTCGGTGTTTTGCGCCGGATCGATATTCCCGGGATAGTTTTTATTCGAATGACGGGATATGCAGAGCTCTACGTTACCGCACGAGTTTGGCGTCGACTGTTCCCCTCCCCAGCCCTTTCCTTTCCCACTATTCACGGTGTCTTTTTCGAATCACATTTCTATTTTCTCTCTTTTCCTTGCTGAGCCTCAACGTTAAAGGGTGTCTCATGTATAAGATCATACCTTTTATACGAAGATCGTGTATCGATACGTTCCATGTACAAGTTTCACTCTGAGATATTCCGTTTCCGTACTGCAGTGAATCTCAGATTTGTTACGGGCCAATTCCTCCAAGAATTTCTCATCAAGCGAATTAAGCAATTAGAAAATTGATTTTCCCATAAGAAAAAAAATGGACAAACTTTTTTTGTTATATCTTCCCAAAAATAGACTTTGCAAAAATGTAGGCAAGTTTTTTTTATTCAATTTCATGTGGACTTTATTTTAAGGGATTTTTATCTCTAAGTTTAGTTGAAAATATTTTAAATATAAAATCTGCGACAATTGATATAATTTCTCTCATTTTTCATTGAAATATAAAGCCCTTAGATGGCACGTTAAGCCTAAGACATCCTGTATAAAGAGAATGAAAAATAGATATTTCTTTGTCATAAAGAATAATACTTAATTGAGCTGTTCTATGAGAATAGAATTATTTTTCGTTAATACATTAATGATATACAAACAATTAACTCATAATTGTAGTTTATTATAGAGAAAAGATAAAAATTATAAAAAATAAATTTGCCACATTTGGTTGTGTTGATATATTAGATCTCTGTACATTCTTACAACTCTTGCAAACAACTCTTTAAAACAAAATAGATATATGTATATATTTTCAACAAAATTAAAGTTAAAAAACAAACTATGTAATATTATAATGAGATTAATAATAAGATTAGAATGAGATTAAATGTCAAATCTTAAGTTAGGACTGCAATAAAAAGTACATAAAATAATACTGTAGTATCAAAATAAAATGATAAAATTAAATTGAAATTTAATACAAAGTTACACAATCATAATACTGCAATTACAATAATACTCCAATTTATAATGGAATATACAGAGTGTAAATTATAAGTGTTTAATATTCTAGAGAGACATATTTCCATCAACCAAACATTAAAAAAAATTTATATGAATATAAATCTAGAAACTTAATTTTTGAGGTGGGAAGAATTTTATTATATAAATTCAATATCAAACATTTAATAGAGTAAATAATGAATATTTAAACATTTTTTAGCATTAAGCTGGAAACACATAATTTAGAATTATTAAAGATTTTCCAATCTTTTTTCCTTTATAGTTAGCAATAATATATGCATATGAGGTTGTAATGAGTTTTAATGTTTTAATATATAAAATTGTAAATAATGTAAGGTTGAAAGCTATAATGTTAGATTATGTGAAGGAAACTAGTTTGAATAATTTTTGAATAAAATGTTTAAATGTTTATTACATATTTCATTAATTGTTTGATATTGTTAAACTAAAGTTATAATATTCTTAAAATTCCTCCTGGTAAAACTAAATATTTCTATAACAACCTATATTTATTTTACCCTATATACATATAAAATAATATTGAATGAAAAGTTGATAAGTTTGAACATCAAATTTAAGCTGCAATGATATCGGAATAAAATTATGAAAAGTGCACAACTATATAAAAAGCAGACTCAGGCTTATCCACAGCGATTAATATATTTTTATAATATTCTGCAGTGTCTGTATTCTTCTAGAAAAACAGTGATAAAATCACTATTTCCGTCGTATGTCTACATATTTAAAAATGCTCAAGCGTTTCAAGATACTCAGCATTATCTTTATTACGTTGTCAACATAAATTTATAACAGATTATTACTGCATGAAACATATTTTCAATATCACAGAGATACTAATATCTCTCTGTAAGAATTACGTATTAAATTTATAGCACAACTATTTGATCGTGTGTGTGTGTATATCGCAGCTCTATATATATATATATATATATATATA